CTATTTTATCATTTATTTATTAAACAGAAATTTTAGAATGAATAAAATGTAAATAACATCTGGTTATTTCGAGACATTCTATAAAATATTGGAAGGTTATTATATTCAATCAGCGAGTAAAATGCATTATTAAGTGTTACATTTATTTGGTGCTAATGCATTAATTGTTATTCATCTTATTTCAAAGAACAAGCTCACTTATTCTTTGCTTACAGCATAGGCGATTTTAAGAAGAAAAATTATTTCATTATTTAATTACCAAATTTATGCAGATAATTAAAAATTCAATGAATTGGAATATTTTATTTTACAATTTTTTACCAATCAACTTAGAATTTTCGTAGTGAGGGTAAATCCACATACAATCTTAAACACATTGAAGGTCTAATTAAATAAAACATTTATTCAATTTTGCCAATGATATAAGTTTAAGTCAAATACAGTAATTTTGAAAACCCCGAACATAGTCTTCGTGTTTAAATGAAATCAAAATATGTAAGCTTTAGCTTAAGGCGGGGCCATCTTTTAGAATGACGAAAAAAATGAGATTTTGAAAGTAAAATATTGTTTCACATGCAAAATTTCTACTTTATTTATGCGAGCAGGCAAAGGAGCTTGCAATCTTTGCAAAGTCACTCAGGTTATAGCGAAAAATATGTCGAGTCAGAAATTTCAAAACACATATTTTCCACTTGATTTTCTGAATTGACGACAATGTCAGACACTATTTCTGGGCGATCGGCTACTCTTTTTTGACATCAGAATGGTTACACAGGCAAGCTATATTTCCATATAAAATATCGGAACGATTTCTAGACTAAATTGACCACTTAAATCCAGAAAAGAATAAACGCAATTGAATACATTTGTCATGCTTCTTTAAGTCCAAAAACTAACACTTGTGTTAAATGGTTAGTATATTAAAATTTAAAAATATTGATAATTCTTTTGATTTTCTGAGAACAGAATTCATTTTCGATGTAACTACAGCACGTCATTTCTTTAATTTGTGCAAGAAAATTTGAATGAATGTTTGAATTTAAAAGTTATATATAAGACTACATGAAGATTGGCAAAAATGTGTTTTCTTCTTAATAAAATCGTAAACCTTCCTTAAAACAAATTGTGCTATTAAAAATGAATTCTTAAATTTAGACAAATTTACAATAAAAATAGCATGCAAGAGAGTTTTGACAAAGCGTCTTTATACTATAAACTCGCTTTTAAGTTTAAAAATAATTGATGAGCCACTTGGAATAGGCCTTATGCCAGATGTTACTCTATCGGGGTTTCTAAACATTTGTTATTTGACTGCCAATTTGCATTGGGTTCGTTCAGTTATAAGGCATCCAAAATCAAAACACCCTTGATCAAATCATTATAATGCTAGTAACACTTATATGGCCTCCAACGCTGATTTATTAAGTGGTGAATACTATTGTTCGAATTAGGGAGGAATGTTATCACGTGGTGTTTTAACAAGTCATTATGCTACAATTTTGATAATACCAATGCTGCCAACGAAATGAGTTTCATTAATGTTTTAGACAAAGTTACACTCCTCACATTTAATATATGTCGAACGAAAATTCTCACATTAAATAGTCTTTAAGACAATCTCGAGAAGAACATATTATTGTAATCTATTCGAATTTATTAATTAAGAAGCAGATGAAAATAGGAAATTTTCAATAATTTTTTGCTAATTTGAAAAACGTGACAGTTGAAAATCCGAGATGTTGATTAATATTATAATATTATTTCAAATATATTCATGATAAGACATAATCGTTTTAAAATGCTCATTACCAAGTGAACCCATTTTATTACAAGCCAAGTTTGCCAAATGGCCTAATGGATGCAATGCTGAATGGGAATAAAGTTTGCAAATAGCCAATCAATAACGGACGATAAATAAAGAACACATTTTTAAGCAATACATCATAATTGTTGATCATTTTGTGTCAATTTGGGGTAAATTGTCGATTACATCAAACTCAATAATGACATTATTTTGCCTAACAATTAGATGCATATGTATTGAAGTTTCAAATTTACTATTCAATGAAGCTATCTTCCAAAACCTATGTGTTTGGTCAAGATTTTAGGTAGTACATTTTATTGCATTAAGAGATGTGCATAAATTGGCCGGGCGCAATGGAAATATATTATGATCAAATTTCGCATTTAGCTTAGTAGTCCAAGGGCAACATTTTACTTCTATCATAGCATTGCATAGTCATAATCACCACATGCAATAAGACAATTGTTAAATTAAAATAAACAGCAAGACTATTGATTGTTAAAAGGGTCTTTATTTGTTCGATTTAAATTTTGGATATATTTTCATTTAGGGAGCGCATAAGTTCATGTCATTCCATGCTAGGCATTAGTATTAATATTCGATACCTACTCTTGCTTCAAACTTCTTTAAATTGGTTATAGTCATTGCCACTGATGCTAGCACATGCTCAAATTACCCAATTTTCTTCCAATTAATGCTTGTGGCTTAAACTCAGTTCATAATAATATTAAATGTAGAAGATGGTGACTATGTGGCACGTCTTGATTTTTGAGGTCGTTTTATTATTTTTTGCAAAAATGAAAGCTGTATCTTTTTAAGTTTTGAGTTTATTTTCTTATATTCATGAAGCTGACTTTGCATTCTAACCAATCATTTATTTTATTCTTTTGAAATTGCCATTCAGAATCCAGTTTATGCCATCACAGTAGGTATATATTCGGTTTTCAAAGGTAAAATAGATAGTTAAACCTTTTAATCTACTGTATTGTAAAATGAAGGCGATTTGCAACTGCGTTTTTATCACGATTTTCCTTCTTACGAATGTTATTGACCAAACAAATGCAGCTTGGGAAGGATATGTTTACGACAGTCTCACCGATAGGCGCATACCATTGGGTGGCAGTGGACATGGTGGTCCAAGAGAAGATCCCTTTGCCAACGGGCCAGTTTACTCGACTTATTATGACCCTAGTACTGGTCAATACGGTAAAATTCTGATTTCTCCTCCTGGGGAAGAGGGCCAATCTCACGCCTGATTTTATTCACGCGGTGGATACTAGAAATGTTATCCTCTACACTGGAAAGGACATTTTTGCATGCATCAAAAATTTAATTTTAATCATTACGAATCTTCATGTTAAATCATAAAGCCAAAAAATAAACTTACTGTTCGTCATCATATTCAAAATCTTACTTTTTGACATATTGGTTTATTATTTCATTAATTATAATGAACTCAAATATTTTGAGAGATTTGTAACGAATATAGACATAATTCCTTTATGCAATGTAGTTGAGAGTCGGGCGGAGTGTTAGAGACCTCGCCTTATAACAGACACAGAAAAATTCCACAAAACTTACGAGGTATACCATTTTAAGGATGGAAAGCCGACTCTCATTATTTTAGCATTTTTTGATTGCACTTGTCCAGGAATTATGTCAAACAGGATATATTCTTTCACAAAATCAGTCCTACAATATCACTCATATATTCAAAACGTTAAAGAGCTTATACAACCTCCTCACATTTTGATTTAACAATTAAGTTGATTTTTCATTCTGTTGTTATTAAAATTTCTTGCATAAAATGCAAGCTTTCGATACTAACTCATGTTAATTACCGAATAATGAACTATTTACAGCGATAGGTAAAAATTCTCAACTCTTTGAAACTCGTTTGAAATTAAGTGAGCAACGGATTTTGGTTTGCAAAATTAATGCGCGGTTAACAATACTTTTACAGACGTTACCCCTCTGAAATAACAAAATCTGGTGAATTTACTTGCTCTCTTCAATTTAACGGACTTCATTTTTATTCTTCTGCTATTATCATAGAGTGGTCAATGAAAGTTAATAGCATCCAAACTATACTTAAGCTTTCCTTCTATATATATGACGCTTCCTGATGATAAATGCTTAAAACATAGAGAACAGCAATTTTTAAAATTATTATTTTTGCAAAATGGGGTTATCTCATCAGAGATGGTTACGTGATACACAATAGATACTTTGTCATCTCGACAGCTTGCTCATATCTGATATAAATCTTATTCATGTTGTCGGCCGTCGGTCCAGTCTCTAGGAACTGTTAACACATCATCACTATTTCTTTCTTCACCTTTGGGAGAGTAAAAGCTCATAGGTTCCAAAACAAAGCATGACCATCTATTATTCTAGCATTTGAAACAACTTAATTCTCTGAAATGTTCACTTCATTAATTCTTTGGTATATGGTTACGAAAAAGACAGAAGGAATAGGTAAATGTTTAAA